TTAGAATACAGTTTATAATAATACAGTGTACCCCACAGGCAGCCTGGTTTGAACATTATTATAAAAAGAAACATAATCATGAGTGTCCTCCTTATTAAAAAATACAAGCCCCATCTGGGAGAGATCTTTGTCTAATCGGTTCATTGATGTACAGCAAGCAAATAGAACACATCTGGCATATTTTAAGCACTCAGTAAATATCTGTTGGTGTTTAAAATGTTTTCAAATTCCTGGATATCTAAATTTGTTTTGTTTGCTTTCTATCTTCCTCTAACTATGGAGAAGTAACATTTTATTTGACTATTTGAAAATAAGTACATTTTAAGAAAAATACACTTCATCTTAAAAAATAATAACCCCTGGACATAAATCATGTCCTGAGAAGGCGTCTTTGCCACAATGGCCGGGTGAATGCTGGCCTCCCAGGTGGGCTCAGCCTTGAGAGGATGATGTGATAGAGCTTGATAGAGCCAAGAGAGATTTGACCGTGAGAATCCTGCCAAGTTTCACTTCTCCAATCTCTTGTCATACTATTGGTAAATTCTTTGTACAAATCCCTCTTTCAAAATTGGGAAAAAAAAACCCAAGGAAATATTATAATAATAAGTAGGCCACTGGCAAAGAGAAAGAGTTTAGAAGAAATGAGAACTGTCACTAGGCTCCATGAGGAATAATGGGCAGCTCAGCAGATATTATACAGCTGTCAGGACACCGTTAAAGTGTTGACGCTGAGAATATTTTATCTGAGCTATTCCTGTGAGCAAGGCAATAGCTTCTAGCTGGCAACAAAACTGTGAAATGAGTTCAAGGACAAGAAGTGGACTCAGGGAATGAGATGGCAAAGAACTGAACGTAGAATAGTTTGCTGCCATGCAATACAGATAAAAAGACTTTTCCTTTGAGGACTGCATCCCCTAAAAATGGGACTTTGCCACAATCTACAAGAAGAAGATGCAATTCCAACGGTAAACACATTCTTTGTGAATTTTTTAGACAACAGAAGAAAAAGACCTTTTATGATTGATCTAGTATACTTGGCTCCACTGTTTTTTCACTGTTTTTTTTTTCCCTACTAATAGACCATATGACAAGCATTTCTAATCAGGTGTTACAGTTAAAATGTATTTTACGGGGGTTATATTATTTTTATCTAGCGCACTTGGTATTTTGAATTTTGAACAATAATTCAAAGCAACCTTTTTTATTACCCTGATGAAGGAACTTATATTCATGATCATTTTTATGCGCTTTACTTAATCATTTTATTGGGGGCTTATACAATTCTTATCACAATCCATACATACATCCATTGTGTCAAGCACGTATGTACATTTGTTGCCATCATCATTCTCAAAACATTTACTTTATACTTGAGCCCTTAATATAGTCTCCTCATTTTCCCCCTCCCTCCCCACTCCCCCTCCCTCATGAACCTTTCATAATTCATAAATTAATATTATTTTGTCATTGTTACACTGTCCGACATCTCCCCCCACCCTCTTCTCTGCTGTCCATCCCCCAGGGAGGAGGCTACACGTAGATTCTTGCAATCGGTTCCCTAAAACTGAGTTTTAAGATTCTCTACCAAATCTTTAGTTTTCCATCACATTCAAGTGGCCTCTCCTACTTGAATGTTATAGCAACCTTTCATGACTGTCAGAGAAAGAGGAGAAGGAATTTCACTTTTAATATACACCCTGGACATCAGAACAAGGAAACATTCCCATCATGTTCTGAAATCCATTTTTCATTTCTTTCTACATGTCAAAGACTTAAATATTTTTAAAATTGCTCTATGAAACTTCTAGATATCCGCCCCCCCAATTTGGTTCATTCTCAGTTTGAGAAAGTATCTAGTTTAGACAAAGGCCTTGAGTCTCATAGTTTGGTTTAATCATTGTTTGGTACTTTACTTAAAATTAGCTTTAGAGATTAACATTTCATAGGCGCATAGATATTTAATCAACATCAATAAGTCAGTATAACATTCACATTAACTACAAGCAAGAGTTAAGTGTTTAATTTTAGATATCATTGAACACAGATATGTGCCACAGAGAATTTGATCAAAGCATATTCCCCAAAACAATACTATATACAATGAAACCTAATTAAGCCTGGTTTCCTTGTATAACACTAAGCAAGGATGGAAGGACAGACCCTATTCTGGGGTAATTTGTTCAAGGAGACCAATGACCTGCTTGATGATGTTAGAGTGCTTTTTTTAGTGGTTTTCTACAAGGTCTCGCCATCAAGTGAAAAGTCACTTCATTTCCCTTGATGTGGTAGACTGAGGGTTACAGTACTTGAACATAGATCCTAGACAACCCTGGAAAATGTACAATTACTTTTCAAGTTTAATAGTTTTGATATACTTCAGTTATCAAAGAATTTACGACCACCTATAATTCCAGACTTTTCTGTTTTCAGATCAATCTCTATTGTTTGAGGAAACTAATTTAAACAGAAAAAGATAGTGCAGGATGATCTATATCACTTGCTTATTACTTTGGCTTAAGAATGAAAGCCTTCATGTGGATAAAATGTAAATTGTAAATGAAATACGTTTAAGTATTTTACGTATTATTTAAGTGCATGGTAAATCTGAAATAGCATATCTTAATTGACATTAGCAGAAAACAAAACCAAATTATTGGCACTATCAAATCAGAACTGGTTAGCCCCTATTTGCTTAGTGACACCTGCCATTGACTCAGTCTCTGGCTCACGCACTCCATGCGCCAGGGGGTGAAAACAAACAGCATGGCATTCACATGATCTGTTACAGGACTAATCCCTGAGTTTGGATTCGTTCTGTGGATCAAACTGCTGTGATCCAGAGGGTTCATTGATTGCATTTTGGGAATAAATTACCAGGCTTTTCTTCCTCTCTAAATTGTGTTCCAGTTTTTAAATGCACACCTTTTTAACAGTGGTCTTGGCAAACTTGGGACCCTTAGTCTTTAAATGTTTATCAGCTAACCAAAAGGCTAGCAGATCCCATCCATTGCACAACAGAAAGATGTTGCAGTCTGCTTCCATAAAGGTCAGGACCTTTGAAGCTCTACTTTGTACTATAGGGTCACTATGAATCATAATCAGCTCAATGGCAGTGGATTTGGTTCATGGGCAGACTCAGCTTAAGAACGGTCTCCACCTTGTCTGAGTAGTCAGTGGTACCCATTCAGCAGCACAGACCTGAGATGATTTGTTAACTCCAAGTCTTTGGAACAACACATATACTTAATTGGAAATAGCAAAACCAATCTCACAGTAATACAAAGGTGAGACGAAAAATAGTGCTACCATAGTTCTAGTTCATATATACATGAGTTTATTCCAAACAAAATAGGTTTCAGCATGTCTCTGTGATCAGTGGATGGCCACAGATAAATTTCCTCAGGACTATACGTGTTTTCTTATTGTTAAAGTGTCTTAAAAAAATTTTAAGTACTTTTAGTACCATGGGAAAAAAGGATTTTGAGGTTAAGCATAATGACAAATTTTTAACATAACTCAAGTGAACATATTCCACAAATCATTGAAGCTTTGTGACAAGCTTACATAATGCTGTCTCACATAAAACAAGAGTTTTCAGATGAAACAAGAATTTTAAAGTGGATCAGGAAAAGCTCAAAAATGTGCAAAGAAAGGAGTAACTGTCAACCTCAGTCAATGAAGAAACTGTGGCTAAAGTCCAGAAACCTGTAGAAGAGTCCCATAGGATTATCACTGAGGTGATAGTTACTGAAATGGAGGTCCCACATGGGTTGGCATTCTCAATTTTATGTAAACCTGTTGGCCTCAGCAAGCTTTAGACTCAATAAATGCCAAACTGTGGCACGAAGACCAACTAGCTCAAACAGTTGATCTTTTTATCAGTCTTTTAAGCAAAATTAAAGCTCACGAAAATAACTTGTGGAATGAATTGTAACTGGAAATGGGTCTTGGATTGACCGATACTATCAAGAGAGGAAGGGACAATAAACTGTGCCTTCCAAGAGAATCTTCTGGGCCAGATAAAATCAAGGAAGAAAGGTCTACTCAGCGGATCGCGGTGGCTGATCACATCCTGGGTCCAATGAAAAGGTATGGGAGCCATGGCCGACCTTTTCCAGCTACATAAAAGAGAAAGTAAATCCAAATCCACACCTGCTAAATAGGTGGATTTTCTAAAGAGGCAAACTAGCGATTCATATAAGTATATAAAAGGAAAAGTTTATATCAAGTAAAATGGCTCAAAGAGTTGTCGAAGTGGGTAAATTCGGGCCAGTTCAAATTTACGGTTCAGATGTTAAGCTGAAGGTTCTTTCTGAAAGTAGGAGGGTGAAGCAAGAAATCATCGGCTGATGGGTGTCAGATGAGGCCTGTGGCCGGCAAAGTTGAACAAATCCAAGTCGGCCAGGTTCTGATGGCTCCTGGGGTGGGCAGGAAATCTGCTTTTAGCTTAAGCCCTGAAGATCGATGCAACAGACGCAGGATCCAGGCCAGGAAAAAGCGTGAAAGCCTCCCAGCAGTATCAACGTATACTGGGAGTAAGTAGGCCACGCTCCCAATGAAACTCCCTTTCAATTATATCTAGACTGTTACCAAAGTAAACGGGCATCCTTCCATATTATTCTTCCCATAAGTGCTTGGCTGCTCACAAAAGATCCCATCATGAAGTTGATCAGAAAACCAGTTGACATAAACCCTAACTGTTACATATGTTCTGTAAGGGTAATTCCCGTGAGGCAGAGGTTAAACATGCCTTCACCCTCCAGCTTCCTTTATTTTGACACCAACTATTCCTGCTAGGTTTTATAATCTGTTCCAATAACCACACAGAACTCACAGACAACACAATACTACGATTATGAGGTTTATAAGAGAAGCTAACAGCTTTCTTTTTTTTTTCATATTTACTCACTTTAATGAGACACTTGGAATTCGGCACCAGGGAACTAAAACCAAGTCCAGAATGCCAAAGACTAGAACCTAGACTCAGGGGTGCATCAGAGGGCTGTGTCCTGCATGGTTTGTCTCCTCAGTCATTGTCCACGGGACTCTGAGAAGCTGTAGGAATATGCAGGCGCAGGCTCCAGGCCCGGCTTCATCTCCAACGTTGTGGAAAAGGACTGTACATTACGGGGCACCGAGCCCTGTGCTCCCCTATGCCACCTGGACAGAGCCCGGGGAGAGTGACCTCCCGGGAGCATCCACGTCGGGGGAAGCTAACAGCTTTCAATTGAGAATCAGAAATGTTAAGGACACAGTTCTTTTGTACACAACATTTCCTCTCAGTTGCACAATCAGGCACTTCCCTCTCTGGTCCTCAGCGTCTCACTCACTTGACCCCTTAGCCTTCCTTGCCCAACTGTTACCAAGCACTGATAAATCCTCCAAAGGCACCCTATTCTGCAATCTCTTGCCTGAAGGCACTCAGCTGTATTCCTTCCCTGAGTCTGGAAGCCCACTCCCCTGTCTCGTGGCTTTTGATGCTGCCATGCTCTGTTCTACGCTGTGGTGAACGCCCCTCTGCAGAAGTTCCTCTTTGTTGGTTCTGAGATTCTCTCTGTTCCTGCTTCTTGAAGGCTCACTTTATACCAAGCAGAATGGCAATCACTGGCCAGTCCCTTTATCTAAGTCCCATACGTACTATTTGGATGTTCCCACCCTGTCATTTGGTAGGAGTTATAAAGACTATGGATAGAAAGCCACAACAAATGACCTCACTTCATCATAAGGTCTTATTAGCAGGACGGGTTTCTTTTTTCTAACTGGGGGGCCTCTTATATCTCTTATCACAATCCAAACATTCATCGGAGGATGTTTTAAGAAAATTGAACTGCACTGGTGAGGAAAAGAACCTCTTTTCCATCATGACAATGCATGTGTTCATTCTTCAATGGGAGCAAGTGCTGTTCTACAGAAATTTTGTTGAGAAACCATACTGTAGCCCGCCCGCTCCCACCCCCAAAGCCCTGGTTTTGCCCTTTTACGTTGCTTTTCTTTTTCCCAAATTCAAAGGACATTTCAAAGGCGTATTATGTGAATTCCTGAGGGATGCAAATTTGGACAAATTTGTTTTATGTGATATAAATTGAAGAGCATAGAATTCTTCAGGTAAGGGTTAGAAAGATGGAAACATGGCTTTCAACACTCCTAAAGGCCAGTGATCCTTGAACTAACTACAAGCTTTTCTTTCTTGTTGGGTTTTAATTTGTTCTTTGTCCGTGGTTTGTTGTTGTTGCTGTTTTGTTGTGCATTGTTGCTTGGTTTTGCTCTGT